ACTGAGTTGACCAGCAGCTTCTAGCCACAGTCCAGCACCTACGAGTGTGCAAAATGATCCGTGAACCTACCTATGGTCCGTGGGTGGGGGTTTCGTAGGTGAGGGCAGATTTTTAAGTTTTAGTTTTTAAGTTAGGGGATTAGGGGATAATTAGTAATTACTTAGGGGTTAATGGAGGTTGGTTAGTTAGTTATTAAACCACCTATATAAGCCTAATAGACCCCTAAAATAAGTCAATTAGTTCATTCTTCCAAGACCCTAAATTCTTTCTAAATAATTCTCTCTCTAGAAGTGAAGATGAAGAAGAAGAAGAAGAAGAGAAGGAAGAGGGGCATATTTTCCTCCATTGTTTCAAGCTTGGTTAGGGCTTTGAATTTAGGTATGTTAGATTAATCATCTATGGGTTCTTCCACCCATAGAACCCCCTAGGTTTTCGCCTAATTGTGAAGTCAAAACCCAACTCTAGCTAGGGTTTCTTCCTACATTGTGGATAGTGTTTAGGTATGATTTCAATCTAGTGGATAATACCTAATTATGAATGAATTAGCATTGAATTATGATATTATGATGAATTTATGTGATTTCTATGGTAAAACTTAATCTAATTGATGAATTTGTTATTGTTTGGGCTTATGCCATGAAAGGTGAAATTGAAGAATTAGAATTGATCTTCTAAAATCAATGCCATGTGTAGTAGTTGTTCAAGGTTAGGAACATATAGACATGAATTGAACTAGACTTTATTGAATATGAAGGATCATAACTAGTAAAGTTGAATTTGAACCTTTATGATCAAATATGACTAGAATCACCTACTAATGATGGATGTGATTAGAACACCTTGAAATTTAGGTATAAAGATGATAGTAAGAAGTAAAGATTGAGAATAAGGCTTGTAGTTATCAATGTTAGGGCTTTGGGGGTAAAGTTAATATGACGTTATCTTGTTGTGTATTATTTTCTCATTTACACATTTAGGCATAAATGTGCTAGGAGATTCATGGTTCTATCATATAGAACGATTCTAGGTTGGCTTAGTAACCTAAAATGAATCAAAGCTAGTTAGTCTAGAATAGCTTGAAGTTGTGAATACATGTTCCCTTCATGTATAACTTGACTTGGTAAGCCAAGACCAAGATTGATAGCTTAGGATTGAGGAATCATACTCTCCTAAGGGTAGCTTGACTTAGCATTGTAAGATACATGTCAAGGGTAGCTTGAGTTAGGGATAGTCATAGTAGCCTAGGATTGAGGATCTATACTCTCCTAAAGGTAGCTTGAACTAGCATTGTTAGGATGCCTTCATGTTAGAATGACTTGGTTTGGCCAAGACCATTTCATGGTAGCTTAGGATAGAGGACTTATACTCTTCAAAGGGTAGCTTAGGATAGAGGACTTATACTCTCCTAAGGGTAGCTTAGGATTGATAATCATACTCTTCTAAGGGTATCTTGCATTAGCATCATAGTGTGCTTGTAAGGGTAGCATGACTTAGTTGGACTAGGACTATTTCATTGTAGCTAGGATGGAACACTTGTACCCTTCCTAGAATAGCTTGGACTTGCATGGTAGTGTGCCTTCCAAGGTAGTTAGTTTAGCACAATATAGTTATGTTAGTAAGATGATAGCATGGTCTAGCCTATTATGGGGTTATTCCTTGGAAGCCTTGAATTGAGAAATAGAATTCATTCATGTGTTGTGACTTGCCTTGTACTAAATAGAGAAGTACCTTAAATGACTAATGGCAAATAGTAAAGAGGGACTATTCCCCAACCAGTGAGTATGTTGATAGCCTAAAGTGGTACTTAGTGTGGATAGTAGTATGTGATGATATTCATACATTGCACAAGTATGACTTGAAGTTACTTATGAAGTGTTCTCTTATATAGTATAGACTTAGCTTGGGTTGTTGCTATAGTTGTCTTCTATGATATGATTGACTTAAGGTGATAGATCCCTTGTCTATATGAAGTAAGCTAAGAATGAGACCAAATGAATGGTAAGTATGCATATGGTGACTTCAAGGTTATGCTTAGTGTGAACGGTAGTATGGGATGCCTTTCATGCATTGCACAAATATGCTTTGAGGTTTCTTAGGAGTATAGTGCTCTTATGGTAGAAAATCTTAAAGACTTGACCATGTATACTTAGCTTGGGTGGTATTATGAGATGTTATTCATGCATTGCACAAGTATGCTTTGAGGTTACTTGAGAGTGGTTCTAATATGGTATAGATGACTAAGAGTTGAATAATGCTTATATGATGCTTATGTTGGAGACTTTGCTTATTATTATGATATTGTCTCTCATGATTATAGTTTATGTTTCATGAAGTATTTCATATGATTATGGATTATGTCTTATGTTGGCTAACCCTTGTCTTACGCCCTTATGATTATGCTAGCTAACATATTTAGTACATTTTGTACTAACGCATACTTTGCCTACATTCTAATCAAATGTAGGGTTTGGAGATTGGGTTCTACTCTTGGAGATAGGTTTCTAGAAGCTGCAAGGAGTTGAAGATTTTGGTGAGTCCTCAAAGCTTTGAGGAAAACACCCACTATTTCCTTTATGTCTTTTATTTTCATGTTGAGACTATTGTATGGGTTGTGTCCCAAGAATTTTATTCTAAAGTTGTATTAGATGGCTTGAGACAAAGTGTAGTAAAGACTTCCGCTTGCTTTTATGAAAATGACTTCGATTGTATGGATAAAGTTTTTAAATTTTCTATACTTTTCTATTATCTTATGTTATGATATGCTAAGGGCTTGTATGAGACCCCTTTGGGGTCAAGTACGCCATGTTACATCTAGGGATACCCGTGGGTCGTAACAAGTAGGCATCATGGGCTGACTTAGCAAGAAAAGTAAAAGCAATATGAAATACTAGAATAAAACACAAACAGAGGTGAAAAAGTGAAATTTAAAAGAGATGCACATGTGTGTACTAAGAACAAAAATAAAATAAGTACAACTAACTAAACCTAGCTAGCCCCCCATAAACCTAGAAGGTACACTCGCACGCAAGATAAGTAAAAACTTGAACGGACCCTCATAGGCCCGACGGGTACAGAGAAAGGCTAACACTACTAAGAGCAGAACCCAATGAGTCCAAAGCCAGAGAAAGTGTAGCCCGGACCTCGAACCGCTTATAGACTCCCAAGTAACCAGTAAGAGTCGCCCATAGACAAGGAGTGCATAACCTAAACCTTTAACCACAGATTGCCTCCAAAAGGGCCAATAAGCTCATCCAATCCAGGGAATGCATAGCCCGGATCTCGAATCGCAAATAGGCCTCCAAAGAAACCAATAAGGTCTAGTCGATATGTATCAACTTCGTAGAGGATAAAAGATCCCGAATCATGGACTGCGGCTATAGATCAAATGCCCGAACCTTGAATTTGTGACTATAATAATTGTTGAAGGACCCCATGTCAAATCATCATCATAGAACCATCGTGGAACGACGTCCACTCCTAGGTGATTAGTTTATTAATCCAAGCTGCCGAATCAACTCCAGTCCCAAGTCGCCAAGCAAAGCTCGATATCTCAACTGTAAAATTGTGGGGCCGTAAAAATAGAGAGAAATGGATAGAAGGTCATTAGAGCTGAGTTAACGCCTAACATGAGACTCATTCTATCAGACCCAAGTCTACTACGCCAGTCTACAGGAAGTTAAGTCGTCCGAAACAACGTCGGGACAAAACTAAGGCCAAACAACTCCAAATAACGCAACTCTACGGCAAACACTAGTCTAAACCTAGATTAAGACCTAACATGCTCAAATCAATCAATAATAACAACAACCAAGGCATACCTCACGATAAGGATCATCACAAATCACAACCGACATGCTTCCAAATCCCAAAAAAAAAACCGACAAAAGCCTAAAAGCACCAAGTGTTCTTTCATCCCATGTCCAATTCAGCATAAAATCCTTAACACACAACTTTGCCAGTAACCCATCACAACATATTGTAGGACTTGATGTAAGTGTCCCACCAGAAGTTGGAGTGTGTGTGTATATATATATATATATATATATTATTATTTATTTATTTTTATTTTTTTATTTTTTTATTATAAGAAGGCAAAATACATAAATTTCCCTTAGCGTGTTTGAAAATGTCGATCGGTTGCATATAGTAACTTTACAGGCGTTTATAAAACACATATTCTTATAATCTTATTTGATATGAATAAATAAAAATAATTCCTGGGCAAATGTTGATATGGCAAAAAGAAAATGAAGGCGTGTAATTTTTATTTTTTTTATTAGTGTTTGATCATATTCTCATATCAATAGGATGAATAACATATTTTAAAATGTTGGTTAAAATTTATATCGCTTGATTCCTAAAAAGAAATTTGTGACAAATATTTTGGACGAAGAAAATAGTGTGCAATCGAGTTTTCCGGACAAATTTAGGGGAACTAATGTATTTTGACCAAAAATAAAATAAATAGAAGATGACTTATACTGATTTTTTTATATATATAATTTAGGTAGTCATCAAGTAATTAATTAACTCAAGATTAAGAACACACTTCCATCAAGAAGTTTGGCTGCAATGCCATATATTGGACTTAGAACAAAAAAAACACAATTCTGAAACCAAAAGAGCAACAACCTTAATATAATGGGAAAATTTATACTTTATTTGGTCAATAACAACATGTTCTTCACACTCATTAAATGAAAGTACAATAATTTTGCTTTGTGGTAGAGGAAAAATTTAACCTAAACTCAAATGGAGTTTAAGTTCTATACATTATTGGTATAAATAATTTTTACATCATCAGGTCATTCAAAATATATCTACAAATAAATCTTTGAAAATGTGAGGTTTGAAATCTCAGAAATAAGATATGTTACCTGCTATAACATGTAAGATAACTTGATAGTGTAAACTTATTTACACCTATCAATATATATATATATAGTATTACTTAAAACTCAATTGAATTAAAATACAATTCCATTTCTATTTTTGTTCTTCAAATTCTTAAAACCATACCATTTTGAACAATTTGATCTTGGAATGCCAATATCTCAATGGGAAATTCACAATTTTCCACAGAGGGATTTGTTGCTACAATTTTACCTAAACCATCAAAATCACATCTTTCTAATGATTGTTTGTATTTTTGGAAAAATGCATTAAAAGCATAAGAAATTCTAGATTCGAATTTGAGTCCATCACATGAAGCTCCTTTTTCCAGTCGTGTACAATCTGCAGTTTTGCATGCTAAATCATAATTCTTGTTCACCAAATACATGTTTGATGTGTCCCCATTGAACTTGCACCATCTATTTGGCATTTTCACAATGCCCTTAGCTTCTGTAGGATACTCGTCACGATCCTGTAATTAGAGATGATAAAGTTAGCTTACGTAAAAATATGACTAGTTATTAATTTAGATCATATTGGTCAACTAACTCTTGAACATGGTTGGACAATGACCTATTTATTGATTTACGTCATTTTGAATTGCTCAAATTCGGTTAAAATTCATAAATAGTCATTTTTCAACACATCCAATTGAAAAATAGTCACTATCATTATGATACACTGTTTTTTTTTTTAGTTACAAAATCGAAAAATGGTTGATAGGCACCTAATTCAACCCAAATCGATCATTTGACACTCGTACCTGTAATGAGAAATCAATCTTGTACTTTGGATTTCCATCTGCCCTGTAAATGCCCCAATGCCTTTGAAATGTACCAAATATTGTACGAAATTCATTCTCATCTGACAAGCTATGAAGATATATGTCAAGAGGCCCTGGCCTAAGTGGTGTTCCTTTTTTTGATGCTACATATTTTAATAACCCCTTATGAAATCTCTCTGCATTTTTAATATTTGCATGTGGATATCCATCTGTAGGCCATCCAATTTGACCAATCATAATTTTCATATCAGGATATCCTGCTTTCTTTAATGCCCACGCAAGAGAATCGATCATTAACTCCACTGCATTTGTGTATGTAATATTACCATCTACGATTTTGAACCCACTCTTGTTATCCATGAACGCGAATTCCATGGTGTAATTCATTATCTCTTTAACAAAATGAATAGGGAACATGTAGAGAACAAAAGGGACTCCGGTTCGATTGAACTCTTCTAGGGATTCAAGCATAGGTTTTTTTATGTCATCACGAAAGTCTGCCTCTGATGGAAATTTTGAGACCTTTAACACATCCATGCCATGGCCGGTCGTCGCTCTGACGTGCCCTAACTTCATATCATCTAGGGTTTCTCGTATGAGTTTTAACACCGGCACCACTTGATTGTTATTTGCCTCTTTTAAGAACGTATTCGAAAATGGTTCTGAACCAACAGTTACTTCTCTGAAAGAAATGAAATCACAAAGTATAATAACTAAAGTGACTTCAATACTACTAAAAAAACGTGAAAAAAATTGTCCAAATCGTACACAATCATAAATAAGGAGTATATTCACAACCTCCGTAGTCTGCACCCGGACTCTGATATCATGTCAGATTTTACCCTTGGGCCTAACTTACAAGGAGCCCAAGAATCCATTCATTTACTAGGGGTATTTCCACCCTAGCAATTGTATGAATTTTTGGGGGGCCACATCAGATCCATCTCTGATACAATGTTTAATAAATTTTAGGATTAGCTAACGCAATTCTAAGAAGCTAGCTAATCTATATAAGAAGGTAGATAAGTTTCGGAATCGTATCTAGGTTCGATATGAAACATATTTTTTTCAACAATTCAAGTAAAAATAAAAAGAAAAAGTAAAAGAAGATGGTTACTTACACTATATTGACACCTTTGTTGATTGGATCCTTGATTCTATCATTCACCCATACATATGCAAGATCATTTCTATTTGCTTGCCACACAAATTGATTTCCCATAGTAACACTGAGGCTAATATTAGTTCCTGAAAATATCTCAATGATATCATATCCTGAAGTCATTAATCTCAATTGTGGAATCTTATTTTGTAAAAGCAAATCAACAACCATTGATGGAACCAATTGTTGTGTTTGTAGCCTGCCCCATGTTATGCCCACAAAGCTATTCACTTGTGTTGCCATCACCAAAACCATGAAACACATTAGGCTCATTTTAACCCTCATCTTCATCTTTTTTTCTCGAAAAATAGAATTTTTTCGAGTCACCTCTATCGTTGCACCTGATTTTTTTTTCTTTTTTCACCGCGGTTTAGCAACTATAAAGGAAAAAAGAAATTACTTTTACCTTATTGGCATGTTCTTTTGATGGGATCTTCCAAATTATATTTGAAGATCCCAAATTATTCAAATACAAGGATCATAGATGATTAGAAATTTGTACAAATTCAAGAAAAAGAAAGTTGTTTCTCTCAATAATTTAAAGGTTAGTTTTTCATATAAAAAGTAAAAAAGAAATCCGCTTATTACGGATATGCATCTAAGGTTATAATAAATTAAATATATATACCAATCATAATTTTTTCAATTTTTAATTTAGTGTCCGAATCATTATGCAACTTCATTATAATTGCTTATGTATTATAAAATTCCTCATTAAGGTCCTCTTATATTTGGCTATGAGATTCACTTAAAGATACGACTCCTTTTTTTGGAACTTGCTAACCTAGAAATCTGTCAGTTATTCTCTATGACTCGTCCTCACTGAATTACCCTTCATAATAAGCATCGGATACGCCTCTGTTAACCCCTTAGGGACTCGGCATCTTCCCCGCGGTTTGCCTCACCACCATAGCCCAATTAACCTAGAGCATATATTGTCCGCTTTAGCCCAACATATCTTACTATGTCATCATTATTGTCCAGTGACAATATCAAAAATTTTATTTAAAGGGTTCAAATATAAAGAAGTAAACACACAAAAAGACGAATGAGATTCAACATATACTATATATACAAAAATAATAATATTAACCAGATAAACTCCCTCAACCCTACCTACCTCACCCGACATGTGTTATGTCTTATAAAGCTCTTCGCTAATTTTTTTCAACTCATTTTAATGTAATATATATCCATCTAAAAGGTAACATGAAAAATATTACAATTTACAATCATATTAAAAAATTATCATCACTACAAGATGACAAAACTTATTATATATTAAAAAGAGATAAAAATGGGGAAAAAAAATTGGAACCGTATGTTTCGGGGAATTTGAACCCGACGTGAATCGAACACGCAACCTTCTGATCTGGAGTCAGACGCGCTACCATTGCGCCACGGATCCGGTTGGTGACAATAATATACGACACATGTTTTATATATTGTATTCTTTCGTTCTAAAATAAAAATAAAAACAGTTATTTTTAAAAATTCTAGAAATAATTTAATTTTTTTTTTTTTTTTTATCCTTAATGACAAGTTTTAATAATCTCACAAATGTTAAGACACATTTTAGAATCATAAGACATAAGTTTTTAAAATCTTTTAATCACATAAATTTAAAATATATTCCAGATCACGAGTTTTGAAAATACATTTTTCTTTTCTAAGCATCATATTTAGTAAAAACCACAGCATATGAGTTGAAATTATAATGTTTATATTTTCCCCCAAAAAACAACAACTTAGTTTATCTATTGTTGATTACAATTTGGCTAGAGGAACATGAACTATAATAATAAAATAAACAAAATAATAGACTTTTCTTACGATAAAAATCTGTAATATTCTCTTATTATAATTGAAAAAAATAATTATAATAAATTAAATGTTGTATTCTTCTTATAACTAAATAACTAATTAGTCTAAAAAATAATAATAGCAGTCCATTTTATGGTATAGGTGAACTCATAAAATTATTGATTATATCATCATCATCAGAAGCATACTATTTGGGTTTGGTTTGGTTTGGTTTTGGATTTTTGAAAACCGATAGTATTTGGTTTGGTTATGGTTTTATTTGAAAAAAATCGAAGAAATAACCGAACCGAACCGATGAATTATATACATATATTTTATTAATATACATACTTAATATATTGTTTTTATAAACAATTTTAAAGATCTTATACATATTTTCATTAAAATTTCTTTATAATTTACTTATTGA